TTTAAGATTTTATTTATTTATTTGACAGAGAGAGAGACAGAGAGAGAGGGAACACAAGCAGGAGGAGTGGGAGAGGGAGAAGCAGGCTTGCCGCCGAGTAGGGAGCCCGACGTGGGGCTCGATCCCAGGACTCTGGGATCATGACCCAAGCCGAAGGCAGACGCTTAACGACTGAGCCACCCAGGTACCCCCATCAGTATTTCTTATAGAGATTCCATGTAAATGCTTCTATCATTCATTAACACATTTTCAGTCAGACTTTTCATGCCCTCATCTTCAGAAGCTTTCTGAAACCTTAAAAAATAGGAATTCCCCTATAAAACAAATAAGTCACAGAGATGAAAAGTCCAACACAGGGAATCTAGTAAAAAATATCATAATAACGTTGTATGGTGACAGCTGGTAACCTCTCTTATGGTAGTGAGCATTGTGCGATGTATAGAATTATTGAATTACTATGTTGTGTCCCTGAAACTAATATAACATTGACTGTCATGCATACTTTAATAATGAAAAATTTAAAAAAGGAGTGCCCCAAATGGAAATGGAACCACCCATATAAAAATTGAGAAAATGTTTTAATTGGAAGATCATCCCAAATTCTACATCCACAAGTTCTATCCAGAGAAGCCAGGAATCCAAGTATCCATCACAGCTGTGACAGAACAATTCCAGAGGACCCACGGAAGCAAAGGGACACCTTTTAGATAACTGAGCCCTTTAACAGAGCTGTTCATTCCATCACTATGCTTCTCTTCACTTCCTCATCCCCAACACCACAAGATTTTATCTCAGGGGGAAAGACACATGGGAAGAGTGATTTTCAAGATGTATTTCACAAGAATAAATTTCTACAGGATTGTAGACATGTACTTTTTGAAGCCTATCTTCTCTCTGAACATACCAGTGAAGAAGTAGAGGATCAGGAAAGACAGATACTGTATCTCTGAGCCTATTTCTTATTACTTGGCACTTGGTTTAAAAAGCACTATGCTGGGCGCCTGGGTGGCTCAGATGGTTGGGCATCTGTCTTCGACTCGGGTGGTGATCTCGGGGTCCTGGGATCGAGCCCTGCATCAGGCTCCCCGCTCAGCGGGAAGTCTGCTTCTCCCTCTCCCTCTGCCGTTGCCCCCCCAGCTCATGCATGTGTGTGCTCTCTCTCTAATAAAGAAAATCCTTTTAAAAGAGCACTATGTTATTATGCTTCATGAGTGAACCTAATTACCCATATTAAATGAGGTCACATCACTTTAGTAGATTGGGCCTTAGGTCAGAAGGTAAGATGTTCGTAAATCCGAGTTCCCTTGAGATACCCACAGCATAGAAGGAGGAAACCAGAAATGACCTAAACAGGATGAAACTGTGAAACTTGATTCCTCTCCCCGCAAAATGCACTTCTATTTAGTTTTAGCTGGCTGTTAATCAGTGTAAGTTCCCATACAATTTAAAATATTCTCTAGATTGTATGGCCACAGTTATAATACAACCAAACATCGAGATCAGAAATTGTGGCAGGGGACAGAAATTATTTGTCAAAATCTTTAGGCCAGTATTCAATAATATTAAATGGAAAATACAGGTTTACACTTCCATTGACTTCTATTTAATCCACCCATTGATGGGTTAATGACATGATGGTAATTTTGGTACGACTCTAAGGGCTGGCTGGTGTTTGGGGCAGTCTGAGTATGTAAAAGTCAATAAGACTATTTTTCATTTGCAAAATCAGTTAAAATTAGTTAACAAGTTCCAAGAGACATAACTTCAAACAAAGTAGTATATAAATTTTTATTATAAAACCAATAATTCAAATATGTTTTTAATAAAAAAAACCTCTGATTTCATCTATTTAATGGGAAATCACTAAAATGTTGCATACAGGGATACTGCCTACGAGGGAACTTTCTGGGGGACAGACATGTTCTGTATCATGACCAGTGTGGTGGTTCCTCAAGTGTATACATTTGTCAAGTCATTCACCTGCATACTTAAAAATACTTTCAAAACTATTTGAAAAAAATGTTATGCATGCAGACCATTAATTTCTATTATTTCTCTTTAAGGACACATATTTTTACTTACAATATGTATACATTCCTGAGAAGTTTGTAAAACTAGCTCTTTATTTAGATTTGTGAATCTACAGGATCCAGGTTCAAGCTCAGATGCATTTCTTTCTTTCCACACACACTCATGCACATATGGAATATATATATATTTCCGTGTCTTGCTACATCACTGAAGGTCATGAACTTTAATCTTTCCCAGCTTACTTTGACAATGATTCTCTACTTTTTAGTTTTTCCAGATAGAATTGCTTTTTTTTTTTTCCAATTTTGCTTTATTGGAATCTTTGTGGCAATTTTTCATTTAGGAGCATTAACGTTCTACGTATTGAATTCTGAGTTCTGTTTGACTCTCAACTGTTCCCAATTTCTTTGAGAGGCTCCTTGTGTCATTTGCCAGGGTTGGTTCTTAGCAGCATCACATTCATAACTCGTTTCATCTTCGTAACAACCTATGGAAGGAACCACCAAGGAACAATCTCTGAGATGCACCAAGGGAGAACGCCACACACTGTGAGGGGTTTCAAATTCCGCCCATTCTTAGCCAAAGGACTGTGAGAGGCTTGCTTAGATATAAGGATATAAGACTCAGGAAATGTAGAGAGACAATCAGACAAATCCATTGATGTTGTCTCTCAGGCTTGTCTATTTAGGAAGGAACAAGAGCCTATGACATTTTCGGAGATGCATCCACATAAGCACTTAATTCAGCACCAGCCACTCCACTTTTCTGCTCAGCACTGACTTCTTCCAACTACCAATGTGCTTCTCTGAGCTAGGCCCCTTCACTCACATTCATCACTGTCAGAATGAACAACTTACATCAAGGCCATACCTTATCAAGGGATGCAATCTGACATTTTCCATCTGAAATACGACAGTATTTGGATCTTGGAGATATTGTCATTGGTAAATATATTGAGGTCTATACAAGGTCAGGTAGATGAGCTAGAGTATACATCTGTCTCACTCACACACACATACATACACACAAACACACACACACAAATACCCCAGTAGGTAGGGTAGGAAAATAATTGGACTAAGATTAACCATGGACTCTAATCTTAGTTTTGCCATTTGCTAGTTCTGAAACTTGAAGCATGTCCTATCTTGGGCAAGTAGTAGGGCCCACAACACAACAATTAAGGATGTGAGCTCCTCTAGCCAAATCATGAGTAACCTTATTTAACCGCTCTGAGACTGTTTCCTATCTGTAAAATGAGGTTAATAATAATGACTTCATTTATTCAAAAATTATTTGATTATCTACAACATGCCAGTCTCTGTTGGAGCTTATGTTTTGTGGTAAAATGTGCTAAGACACATCTGATGAGGACTACCAGGAATAAATGTATAGTCCAACAAAATTAGGTTTATTCATCCACCGCAACAAGGTAGACCATCACCAGCAGTAACCTGGAGCATCTCATGAAGAATGAAACAGGGTTATTGCAGGATTTTGAGAAAAAGTAAAATTTTAGGTAAAATTTTATGGAAGTGTTTTGATAGACTCAATGCAAGGCTGGTTTGGATTAATTTTGGTTTTTTTAAGAGAGAGAGAATCTTAAGCAGGCTTCCCGCCCCGTGTGGAGCTGACCTGAGTTCCACATGGGCCACAGGGCTCCACATGGGGCTTGATGTCGTGACCCTGAGATCATGACCTGAGCAGAAATCAGGAGTCAGATGCTTAACCGAGGGAGCCACTCAGGCACCCCGGCTGGTCTGGATTAAAAAGTAGGTTCAGGGTCCTGTTTCGTTTTTGAAATCTCAAAGTTACCATAAATGTGACACGTTGTGTGTGAAAATGCTGTATCTGGAGCTCTACAGCTAGCTTGGAAGAGATTGTTTTTGTTGAAGGTGGCTCCGATCCTCCAGGCAAGAGTGGAGCATTTACTTATCCTGACAGTGACGTCAAATAGTTTCTGACAGTCTCTGATTTTAGCAAAGAAGATTTCTCGGTCATTTTTTAAGTGGGAGCAGCAAGGCAAAGATATCATTGATAAGAAAGCAGTAATTATTCAAAGAGGATCATGGTGAAATTTACAGCTCCAGTATGATTTTGGGAGAAATATTTGCTGTTAACTTTGCGGCAGGCCCTATCAGTGTCCTCTGAGTCTGGTCTATGGCAGAGCCGATTTTTGCTTTTTCAAACGAGATGATACATGTAAAGTGCTTAGAAGAGCGCCTAGCACACAGTTTGTGTTTAACAGTCATTGTCGCCATCCTGAAATGAAGGAGTCTGATTTTCCTGTGGCTCTATGATTTTTCATTACGGTTTAAGAAAAGAAGGTAGGAACCCGCCTCTCTCCTTTGCGGAGGCACTTCGGTGCGTGCAAATTACTCAGGTATACCCGTTACTGGGGCGGCGTCCTGGAGACCGAGACCGGCCAAGCCCGGAAGACCCGCCCACTTAGAGTCACGTGGATCGGCTCTAGCCCCGCCCCGCCCCGAGTCCGCGCAGCCGCACACGCATCTGGGAAATGTCCCGGGGAAGGAGCGGGTCCCGCGGGGCCGAGAGCCGCCGCACCGTAGTTCCTCCGGGATCGGTGTCGGGACCCGGTAGTTGGTGCCCTAGCCCGGGGCTGGTGGGCCAGGCCTGGCAGGTCCCGAAGTTTCACAGGGCCTTGCTCTGTCACCTTCTCAGGTGCGGCAGCTGTTGCCCGCGAGCGGCGCGGGGGTCCGGGCGCCGACGCCCCTCCAGGCCCCGGATCTGCGGTGCGTCTGGGCGGGTGCTCGGCCGGGCGGCGTCCGGGCCTCGGAGCCCGGCGCTAGGGGCTCCCCGGAGCGTGACGGGGTCGGGCCTGGGGTCCAGAGGCCGCAAGGAGGCGGGTGTCCGCAGGGAGGGCCCCTAGGGGAGCGGGCCAGCGGTGGCGCGGCCGCGGAGCCCGCGTGATGCCCGGGCGGCCGCAGCACCCCGCGCTGGCGGCGACGACTGTGCAGGGAGAGAGAGGTGAGACAGTGACCGGGTGCGGCGTGGGGGTGTTCTGCACAAAAGAGTCACAGCAGCCGCGTTTCGGTGCGGAAGAGGAAAGAAAACATTATTATTATTATAGGAACTAATGAAAGCAGGAGAGGAAAGGAATCTACTCATAGTGGAGGTGATAGGAGGCAGTAAAGGAGAAGAAGGCAAAGCTGCATCAGATCGGGTGCTTACAACGTCCAGCCGCATCAGGTGGGGAAGCCCCGTGGAGACGGCCAGGCTGGAGTCCCGGCTGGGAGCCCCGGGCAGAGCGTCCTCCCCTCGGCTGAGACGGACTGACCATCCCCATAGAAGGGCCGTATTCGGAGGGCGAATAACAGGGTCTGCAGTCAGACATTTGTTCGCCTACGTGCAGTTTGGAGCAAGCTGCATTTCCATGTTTTTGTGTTTCTGTATTTTCAGGGAGCCCGGGTTCTGCGTCTGCCTCCCCTCGGGGATTCCATCCTGGGGGGCCAGCCCCGCTTGGAGCAGGAGGGGACGTGAGACAAGATCTGTAGCTCTTGGTGTTCGGAACAGAAGGGCCCGTTCTGACCTGGAGGCCAGCTCATGTTCACTAACCAGGCCCCCGAGGTTATTCACACAGCACGAGTCTCACACACCACCTTCTTGAGCCTGCCTGTGTACCTGCAGGTCCAGGAGGTCGGTTCTGCGGGACGAATCACAGAAACCGGTATCTGTACAGCACAGGGGTGAGGTGCAGACGGGATGTGAGGACAGGCAGCTTTCCTTTCCAGGGAGAGAAGTTTGTAGGAGTAGGCGGGAAGAAGGCTTCCTGGGGTGGGGCGGTTTCTGTAGGGAGCGCCGGTGGGAGCCAGGAGCAAAGCCCCTCCTGTGTCACTTCCCGTGACCCCTTCTCCCACGCCAGCCTTTTATCCATCGTGGCTTATTGAAAACGGCCTGGGTTGTTTAGTTTCAAAATTATCAGTAAAATTGATAGGAGAGGGGCGTGCAGTTCTACCGTGTTTAGAAGCGTGCAACTAAACCGCCGCCACAGTCAGGACGCAGAGCTGTTTCACCGACTGCAGAAACCGGCCTTGTGCTCTCCCTTTATTATATTCACACCTTTCTCCCACTGTTAACCTCCGGCAGACTGGTCCCCATCTCTCTAGTTTGTCTTTTCCGGGATGGGATGGAATGGAATGGATGGATGGAATCTTACCCTGTATAACGTTTTGGGACTGGCAACTGTCACTCAGCACCATGCCTTTGAGATTCCTTTGTAACATTCCACTAAATAGACATACCAGTGTTGTTGATTTAATCTGTTCATCCATTAAAGAACATTTGGATTGTTTCCAGTTTGGGGTAATTACGAATTGTACTGCTCTAAATATTCATGTACATGAATTTTTTCTGTGAACATAAGTTTTCATTCAGCCTGACTTTGAAAAGCAAACCGGTTTGAACTTCAGTGCTCATTTGAGCTTTATTGATTGTATGATGGGCTTAGAATAGTTACTTAACTTTTTTAATTTTTTTTGAAAGATTCTATTTATTTATTTGAGAGAGCACAAACAGAGGGCGGGCAGAGGGAGAGGGAGAGAGAGAAGTAGGGAGCCCGACGTGGGACTCAATCCCAGGACCCTGGGATCATGACCTGAGCTGAAGGCAGACGCTTAACCAACTGAACCACCCAGGCGCCCCATTTTATTTTCATTTTTGAAAGGTATTTCCTCTCTATATAAAATTCTGAGGTGACACAATTTTTTTCTTTCTGTAAGTACTTTGAAGAGGTTGCTCCACAGTCTTCTAGATTGCTTTGTTTCTGATGTGTTGTCTGTATTCTATTTCTTTCTTTTTTTTTTTTTTTTTAAGATTTATTTATTTGACAGAGAGAGACACAGAGAGAGGGGGAACACAAGCAGGGGGAGTGGGAGAGGGAGAAGCAGGCTTCCCGCAGAGCAGAGAGCCCGATGCGGGGCTCGATCCCAGGACCCTGGGATCATGACCTGAGCCGAAGGCAGACGCTTAACCGACTGAGCCACCCAGGCGCCCCATCTGTATTCTATTTCTAATGTGTCTTTTTTCTCTGTTTGATTTTAAGATTTTCTCTTTGTCAGTAGTTTTGACTGATTTGATTATTATGTGCATTGGTTTAGTTTTCTCCATGTTTCTGTGCTTAGAATTTGTTGAGCTTCTTGGGTCTGTAGTTTTCATCAAATTTGTACAATTTTTAGCTACTATTTCTTCCAGTATTTTTTCTGCCCCACTCCCCCAATCTGTAGATTTCAATTGCACAAATACTAGTCGGTTTAGATTTGCCTGATACTCTGTTCATTCTTTTGAAAAGATGATCTTTTCTCTCTGTTTCTTTCTGGATAGTTTTATTGCTGTCTTCAAGTTCACCAATCTTTACTTTGCAGTGTCTAATTTGCCATTAACCCATCACTGCATTTTTCATCTTGATCTTCTTAGTTTTTATCTCTGAGTTCATTTTGAGCCTTTTTTAAAAATTTTGCCTGCTATTCTCTACTCATTTTGGACATGTGCAATGTAACTACATCAGTTGTAATTCTCACATGTGTTTGTTCAGATTGGTTTTTATTGACTGATTCTTTTTCATTGTGGTTTGTGATTTTTCTTCTTTTTTTCCCTAGTAATCTTTGTTTGAATGCCAGACAGTATTAATTTTATCTTTTTGGATGCTAGGTATGTTTGTGTTCCTAAAAATATTTATGAGCTTTTATCTGGGATGCATTTAAGTTACTTGGAAACAGTTTGATCCTTTCAGGTCTTGCTTTTAAGATTTGTTAAGTGGGACCAAAGCAGTTCTCAGCCGAGAGCTATTTATTCCCTCATATTAACATGGCTATTTTGTGGATTCAACCCAGTGTTTCGTGTATCACGCAGTTTTCTAGTATGGCTGTCAGAATGGGCCCTGTTTGAGCTCTGAGCACCGTTACCTCTAATACTGTTAAATAGTTCTTTTCCTGGCCTTGAGTAGTTTCCTCACATGCATATGGTGATCTGTGCCTTGCTAAATACTCAAGGGGGACCCTCCACAGATCTCCAGAGTTCTCTCTACATATGTCTCTTTTCTCAGTACTCTGTTCTACAAACTCCAGCCACGTGGGCCTCCTGACTCTGTGTTCCATCTGTTCAGTTCTTATGTATGGATTCCCTAACTCTGTGCTACAGCCTGGAAACCCTCAAGGCAGTCCGTTGGATGTATTAGTTATCCATTGCTATGTAACAAATCGTCCCGAAAACTTAAAACAACACGGCTTAAAACAACACGCATTTATTATCCCAGGGTCAGGAGTCTGAACACAGCTTAGCTGGGTCCTCTACCTCAGGGTCTTTTGCAAGGTTGTGCAAAAGATTCACTTCCTCACTTATTTCTGTGGTTGTTGCAGGATTCCGTTTGTTGCGTTATTGGACCATGGGACTTAGTTTCTTGTTGGCTGTTGGATGGGAGGCCACCCTTGGTCCCTTGCCACACAGACCTCCAGTATTCTAGCTTGCCTCTTCGAAGTCAGCAAGAGAGAGAATCTGCTACCAAGACAAAATAACATTCTTTTTTTTTTTTTTAA